TTATGTACTCTTGATTGTACATGTACGTGGTATGTTTTATCACTGAGATTCAAGAGCCCCCAATTCCCCCAAGTACATGACTGATGACTGTACTCTTTGATACGATCGAGCCTGGCTGCAGACCAGCACATGCACTGGCTCAGCCGCTGTATATAAATGCCCGCGATTCATTGGATTGGATTGCCCGCCCGGGCTGACGGATTATTACGTAAACTCTGTGGAATGACGTCGCAATATGACGTCTTCTTTTTCCACAAAATTTTGAAAACAATCTTGCAGCTTGACAGACTGGACTATACTAGTCGACTGCTGTGACAGTTTCGCAAGATGTTCAATGCAAGATCCACTGTCCAACTCTGTGGACATAGACTGGCCGGAGACTACCCGTCCTTTATCCTGTTCATGCATCCCGATTCCCCCCCGAAGGCTTTGGAAAGGAACGCTTTGAAAATCCAGCTTGCTCTGTGTCGAGGCTGCGAAGCGTGAGCGGTGGAATTGCCGTAGTTTTTTCTTCTGCCCAGCGTCAGTCTCTATGTAACAAACTCTGAGAGTGCACGAAGGAATTTTGTTGTAACAAGCAACAGACTGCAGCAGCTTTCATTGACTTCTTTTCAGCTTCTGTTTCAGGCTAGAATCTGAGCACGATTGTAGTATGTGTGTGACTAGCATGTAGTACGTGCCCTCATGCTCCTTGTTGGAGCAGGGACGGGTTTTCTACTACGCTACTACAATTGCGTGCACAGTTCTGAGTGATATATCTTGTGAAGCGAACGCACACTTCTACGAATTCTAAAAGCGTCAGCATAGCAGAACTAGCAGGCTGCAGGATGCATTGGAATTACTCTACGTTGTCTCCAGTCCGACCCGTGACAATATCTGAGAATGCTCATCTGGGAATCACCGTCACCTTCACTGTCTTATTTGGACTTCTGTTTTTCATCATCTTTGTGGAGATGCTGCTGCTGTTGTACTATAAGCACAAGCTGTTCTCCTATCAGAGTGTGTTCCTGTTCGTTTGTCTCATCTGGTCTGGGTTGAGATTGGAGCTGTTCACGTTCTACTACTCCAAGACTGACAGTGTCATAACATATCTACCTACAGGTGCATATTTTGCACTCTTTGCCCTGCCAGTGTTATTCCAGTATGGCACGCTCACCTTGCTTGTCCTCTACTTCAGTCGGGTAAGCAATGGCTGCCACCGCGCCGCAGCAGCAGCAGCATCATGAGTCATGATCTGTTGTATCACAGTATGGTACATAATGTATGTGTGAGCAAGAATACCGGAAAAGCCTGTAAATACGCTCACCCAGTATAACGCCCACTGCCCGTGTACACGCCCAGTTGTCGCGTGCCAACAGTCTTGTCCCATTTTCTAGCCCACCTCCATGTTAACGCCCATGATTGAAAGCACAGACCCAGTACACAGTACCATACATGCAAAGCTCCACATGCACACAGTACTGTAGTGTAGTGTACACAGTGCAATACCATACATGCACAGCTCCACGTGCATATATGGTACTGTAGTATAACTTAGTGTACAGTACACTGTGCTAACCTTATACAATCATGTACGCGCCTGTTGTAGTACAGTAAGATCGGGCGCCGAAGAACACCCAGGCTGGAAAACCGGCAAAATTTAAGAACAGTCCAGGCTAGAATTATCAGATTTAAGAACACTTTTAAAATTGTATACATTGTACATGTATGGGAGGTGAGTACATGCCATGTACACGTGTAAACAGTAACTGCTACATGTACAGTCATTCCTATTTACGACACCCACTACATTGTAGTTTAGAAGTACTACATTGCACTACATGTACATGTACATGTACATGACAAACGTCATGACGTCACTCGACTCGCCGCGCGCGTGGGAATAAGAACGGTCTGGCTAGAATCAAAAATTTAAGAACCTTTCTAGGCTGCGCTCGAGCCCCTGCGTTCTTCGGCGCCCGATCTTACTGTACGGCATGATGTGAAAATTGGTTTGATTTCACTTACCCGAAATAGCGCCCGGGCCCACATTGTCGCCCATATTCTCGACCTTCACTATCGTTTCCGCCCAGGGCCTTATTACGGGCTTTTACGGTATGTAGAAATTGGCCTGGGATCTGTGCCTCTGTGATTGCAACATTTCAAATCATGATTGAAAATCGTGAGAACATAATGACTCGATTTTCGGAATCTGGCAATGACTTGTTCCCATGCAGTCCGTCTCCACTTTCTGCTCATGATCTGAAAATTGCTATCGCCGACCATACGTACACGGTTGAACGTGGAATGTTAACGGGCCCGGCGTGCTGTTTAAGCCCCGTGTGCTGCCGGGAATTTCACACTCTGAGTATTGGTACCTGTGACGTGTAGGAGTACAGCAAATCTACAACTTACTGCCCGGGGCTTTGCAGCATATTATGTAATACACGGAATACATGCAACATAATGCATGTATTCCGTGTATTACATAATATGTATTACATGCATTATGTTGCATGACATTGTGTAGGACATTGTGTAGGACATTGTGTAGGACATTGTGTAGGACATTGTGTAGGACATTGTGTAGGACATTGTGTAGGACATTGTGTAGGACATTGTGTAGGATATTGTGTAGGACATTGTGTAGGAGTCACTCAATCAGCAAGCACTACTGTAGCAATGCCAGTACATGTACCTATTGAAGATGACAGGCACCTAGTGCAAGTCGACTACCTATTGAAGATGACAGGCACCTAGTGCAAGATCATTTCAGTGAAAACGTCTGTGCAAGTTTTGCTGTTCATGTCTTTCTGCAGCGTTCATGTAATAATTGTGTTGTTGTTGTTGTTGCTTGCTGCTGTGATTGCTGCTGCTGTGATTGCTGCTGCTGTGATTGCTGCTGCTGTGATTGCTGCTGCTGTGATTGCTGCTGCTGTGATTGCTGCTGCTGTGATTGCTGCTGTTGTGATTGCTGCTGCTGTGATTGCTGCTGCTATGATTGCTGCTGCTGTGATTGCTGCTACTGTGATTGCTGCTGCTGTGATTGCTGCTGTTGTGATTGCTGCTGCTGTGATTGCTGCTGCTGTGATTGCTGCTGTTGTGATTGCTGCTGCTGTGATTGCTGCTGCTGTGATTGCTGCTGCTGTGATTGCTGCTGCTGTGATTGCTACTGCTGTGATTGCTGCTGCTGTGATTGCTGCTGCTGTGATTGCTGCTGTTGTGATTGCTGCTGCTGTGATTGCTGCTGCTGTGATTGCTGCTGTTGTGATTGCTGCTGTTGTGATTGCTGCTGTTGTGATTGCTTCTGTTGTGATTGCTGCTGTTGTGATTGCTGCTGCTGTGATTGCTGCTGTTGTGATTGCTGCTGCTGTGATTGCTGCTGCTGTGATTGCTGCTGTTGTGATTGCTGCTGTTGTGATTGCTGCTGCTGTGATTGCTGCTGCTGTGATTGCTGCTGCTGTGATTGCTGCTGCTGTGATTGCTGCTGCTGTGATTGCTGCTGCTGTGATTGCTGCTGCTGTGATTGCTGCTGCTGTGATTGCTGCTGCTGTGATTGCTGCTGTTGTGATTGCTGCTGTTGTGATTGCTGTTGCGATTGCTGCTGTTGTGACGGTGGCATGGCAATGAATGCATGTGTGTATGTGTACAGGTATGGTTGAAGGTGAAAGAAAGAGCTGACTACTACGCGTCTCGTCACTATTACGACAAAGCAAGGTAATTTCTCACCAGCCTGTTTAGTTTCACAGGAAGCGTGAGTTTCGAAGTCTGAAGAAAATGTTGAACGGTCTCTGCTGGGATGACAACTACACCATAGTTCAGTGGTTAGAGCATTGCTGGGCTCAGACGATGGTCCGTGGTTCGAGTCCTGGTAGTGACAATCAATTTTTTCTTTAGACTTTTCCCTTTTCCGTTCTCTCAACCAGTGAAAATATATCATTACTGGCATTATATCTTTCACATACTCCTGTGCAGTTGTATTGAGCGTCCGAGTCTGGCGGGTGTGGTTGCGATTGTGGTGGTGGTGGTGGTGGTGGTGGTGGCCTCCGCGGAATATGCTCGTATTTTTACCGATAATTCCTTTGAGCATTGCTCAAAATTTCGACCGATTATTCCCGTAATTCCACCAATAATTCTCACAATAATGCTTTTTTTCTTCCCTTTTTTTGCAGATACCGTACCACGTACGGGTTTTTTTGCCACTTGTACGGGCAAAAAAATTCACGGTTCGCGTGAAACTCGGCTGGAAGCTTTTTTTTCTTTCTTTTTTGAAATACCGGGCGATCAACTTCAGGATCACAAGTTTTTTGGTACAAATCGGGGTGTTATAAATGGAAAACAAATTGAAAAAAGGGGGCATTGCTCAAATTTAACCGATTATTCCACACAAATTGCCAATAATTCCCGTTTTAAAAATCACACCGATAATTCCCGAAATTATGCCGGCACATTCCGCGGAGGCCTAGTGGTGGTGGTGGTGGTGGTGGTGGTGATGGTGGTGATGGTGGTGATAGTGGTGGTGGTGGTGGTAGTGATGGTGGTGGTGGTGGTGGTGGTGGTGGTGGTGGTGGTGGTGGTGATGGTGGTGATGGTGGTGGTGGTGATGGTGGTGGTGGTGGTGGGGTTGGTATTAGTGGTGGCGGTGGGGTTGGTATTAGTGCTGGTGGTGGTGATTGTGTAGGCTACCATGGTTTGGGCAATGCGGCTGGTTGTGATGGTGTTGGCCATGGTTTGGGCAATGCGGCTGGTTGTGATGGTGTTGGCCATGGTTTGGGCAATGCGGCTGGTTGTGATGGTGTTGGCCATGGTTTGGGCAATGCGGCTGGTTGTGATGGTGTTGGCCATGGTTTGGGCAATGCGGCTGGTTGTGATGGTGTTGGCCATGGTTTGGGCAATGCCGGTGGTGTTGGTGATGGTGTTGGGCAATGCCGGTGGTGTTAGTGATGGCTATGATGGCAGTGGTAGTGTTGATGTTGAAGTCCCATCCGCTGGGCATTATACTTGTGCATGTATGTGTGTCTGCGTGTTTTGTGCATGCGTATTGTACTACAGTCGTCCCTCTCTAATCCAGCACTTTATAATCCAGCACCCTCGATAAACCAGCACAATTTTCAGTAGCCAAAATGTCCTCTTCATGCACATTGCAGCAGTAAATCAGGTTTGTTAATCCAGCACCCTCCTTAATCCAGCAGATTTTCGTGGCACAAATGGTGCCGGATTATAGAGGGACCACTGTAGTATGTGTATCTGTTTGTGTGTCTGTGTTAACCCTTTACCATCCGACCAAAATTCCCCAGCAGTCCAAAATGCAATATTTCACACCTATTCTAAGAATATCTTCAGTTCTAATCAACCAATTTTCACAATCTTGGGCATTCTGGAAATCTCTCCATGAGCTGCGTACATTGAGCACGAACAGGACACTACCGAGATCACATATCCAGCGCCAGGGAGCTCCAAATACACCCCATCGCTGAATACATGAGGAAATTCTCTCCTCGCCAGCCATTTCTCGCTCCTTCATCGTAAACATTAAAACAATTGCCTGAGTTTCTTTTCATGCTGCCCACGCGCTCAAAGCATGCAAAAGTGACTCAGCATGTCAGGAGAGGGGAGATTACCCGCTCAAGGTCAGTCACTCGGAAATTCGACTTTTGCCGTGGCTGAAATGTCGAGCGTAATATCTTTGGAATGCGACATCGCAGCTCTTCACCGATTGATGCAATGGAAAGCTCAGCTCTTCGGCTTCTTCCTAGATACTTAGTGTTTTAAATTCCGCCACGAATCGATCGAGTTACGAATGTTTTAGTGTATGCATGTCCATTGATCTGTAGAGATCGATTCGAGTACGCATGGATGGTAAAGGGTTAAAGTGTATTATGTCACGCGCGCGCGCACGCGTGTGTGTGTGTGTGTGTGCGTTTGTGTGTGTGTGTGTTTGTCCATGATTCAGGCTGATACTATACATCATCTGGGCATCGCTGATAGTGCTGATGTTTGCCATCAACCTTTACGTGTCCTTGGATGTCAATCTGGACTTTCACAACCCAAAGTGCCCTCATCACCATGCGTCTAAAATACAACTCCGTGTTGTCATAACTGAGTGCCTCTTTCTTTTCAATGCCTTTGTCCTTGGCTACTTCGTATTCAAGGTAAGTACCAGTGAATGAAAGCTCTCCCCCCCCCCCCCCCCCCTCCCTCTCTCTCTCTACTTTGTTCTTTGCATGCTTATCTACATGTATGTCATATTATGGTGTAGCAGTAGTGAGTAAACGGGTTCAGTTTCCAGTGTGTTTAGGCAGTTTGGTGAAGATTGGCTTTTATTTCCCATTCCCTGTCAACTTTCATTTCCAGGTGTACAAGTCGCCATCAGCAAATGCAATGCTTGAAACACAGGTATGTTCTGGTCTGCTGCTGTTGTTGCTATCGCTACTGCTGTTGTTGCTATCGCTACTGCTGCTGTTGTTGCTATCGCTACTGCTGCTGCTGCTGCTGTTGTTGCTATCGATACTGCTGCTGCTGCTGTTGTTACTATCGCTACTGCTGCTGCTGCTGCTGCTGCTGTTGTTGCTATCGCTACTGCTGCTGCTGTTGTTGCTATCGCTACTGCTGCTGCTGCTGTTGTTGCTATCGCTACTGCTGCTGCTGCTGCTCCTGCTTCTGCTGTTGTTGCTATCGCTACTGCTGCTGCTGCTGCTGCTCTTGTTGCTATCGCTACTGCTGCTGCTCTTGTTGCTATCGCTACTGCTGCTGCTCTTGTTGCTATCGCCACTGCTGCTGCTGCTGCTGTTGCTATCGCTACTGCTGCTGCTGCTGCTGCTGCTGCTGCTGCTGCTGCTGTTGTTGCTATCGCTACTGCTGCTGCTGCTGCTGCTGCTGTTGTTGCTATCGCTACTGCTGCTGCTGTTGTTGCTATCGCTACTGCTGCTGCTCCTGCTGCTGCTGTTGTTGCTATCGCTACTGCTGCTGCTGCTGCTGCTGCTGCTGCTGCTGCTCTTATTGCTATCGCTACTGCTGCTGCTGTTGTTGCTATCGCTACTGCTGCTGCTGCTGCTGTTGTTGTTGCTATCGCTACTGCTGCTGCTGTTGTTGATATCGCTACTGCTGCTGCTGCTGCTGCTGCTGCTGCTGCTGTTGTTGCTATCGCTACTGCTACTGCTGCTGCTGTTGTTGCTATCGCTACTGCTGCTGCTGCTGCTGCTGCTGTTGTTGCTATCGCTACTGCTGCTGCTGCTGTTGTTGCCATCGCTACTGCTGCTGCTGCTGCTTTTGTTGATGGTTGGTTGGTTGGTTTTTATTTTACTTCGCACATTCAAACGGGATGACGACCCAATAAAATGACGGCGAAGGCTTAGCCTAGAAGTGGTGCGAATGCATATACTGATACTGCTTCTATTACTGTTTTGGTGTTTTTTTTTGTGATGTTGTGTTTCTTGTGATGTGTGTTCGTGTCTTGTGATGTGTGTTTGTGTCTTGTGATGTGTGTTTGTGTCTTGTGATGTGTGTTTGTGTCTTGTGATG